GAAAATATTTTCTATGGGTCTTGCTTTTGATATGTAATTGCTCTTTCTGTTCTATATGATAATTTAGAAATAATCTAAAACTTTGCTGCCACTGCCTTCTTCTACTCACAGTCTTCTGATACAAGCATTTTAATGATTAATCCTCATGGAAATACACCAAAATTTTCTCAACCACTCCTTAATGTTGAAAAACCTTTATACATACTTTCTATCTTCAGAAGCCATCTCAAAACTTTCCTGTATAAAGTCTTCATAGTTTTAATGCGAAAATGACTATTAATTATCCTCTGTCATATCCAACAATGTGTTTCTTTTATTACCCAAAACTGATCTGTTTCTTAGAGAAACTAAAATATAATGCAAAACACTAGAAGGAAAAATATAAAAAATTTGAAATGTGTTTACAGAAAACTGGACAAAAGACACATTTTAAGTCACAAAGGACAAGATACAAATGGTCTAACATACTAACATCAGTATTTCAGCCAACAGATTGACAGATTTACAAACAAAATAGAAATACTAGGTATGGCAAATCACTTGTGGAGATATAAATTAATTCCTGTTTTGGTTCTGTTTGGGAATATTTAATGAAAACCCTTAAAAATATCTGTAATCTGTGATGCAGGAAGTTCAGTTCCATGATTTGATCATAAGGGAAAAGTGTATTATGTGTTTAAAATTGTGACTATATGAATATTGTACTGATTTATAATATCGAAAATAAAAAAATTATCCAAATATCTAACAACAAAGCATTTAGTAAAGTTAGGTGTATTCAGGAATGGAATACCTTACAGCCACTGGATTATATTATAGAATATTATTTAATGGTATGAATGTATTTGGATTTTTTAAAAAGATTTTATTTATTTGAGAGAAAGTGAGCACGCACAAGTGAGGGTAATGGGTAAGTGAGCACTTGTGCGTGCAGAGGGAGAAGAAAAGGGAGAAGCAGGCTCCCCACTGAGCAGGGAGCCTGAAGCCAGGCTGGATCCCTGGACCCTGGGATCATGACCCAAGCTGAAGGCAGTTGCTTAAATGACTGAGCCACTCAGGCACCCATATATTTGCAATGCTAAATGAAAAAGTTTATAAAGTATCATAAATGGTGTATTCTACTTTTACAAAAACAAATATATACAAAGAAAAATGTCTGGAAGGATATACTCAAATAATTATTTTTAGGTGTATTATGGGAGATCTTTATCTCTTTTTTTTGTGTGTGCGTTGTTTTGAAGATTTTTTCTTTTTTTGTTTTTAAGATTTTATTTATTCATGAGAGACACACAGAGAGAGGCAGAGACACAGGCAGACGTAGAAGCAGGCTCCCCATGGGAGCCCAATGTGGGACTCGTTCCCAGGACCCGGGGATCACGACCTGAGCCAAAGGCTCAACCACTGAGCCACCCGGGTGTCCCTGAAGACTTTTATTTCTTAATTCTATTTATATTTCCTATAATTAACACTTACAGATTTTATATTAAGAAAAAAGTTACTATTAAGTCATAAAAATATAAATATATTCTCATTTGTTTTTAGTTTTGAGATTTAAAAAAATTTTAATATAAATGTGAGTACATAATGCATGTGTGTTTGTGTATGTAAATGTATTCTTTTTGTTTAAAAGATATGGTTTTTGATAGTTGTGGATAGATTTCCAAGTTTTTCTATATAGTGCCTGCATTTATGTGTAGGATCATAAGTGGATTCTATTAGATATGTAAATGATGTTTATAAACAACTGAAAATAGTATAATTCAGCCTTTCATAAAATTGAAAATGTCATTTAGAGTATTACTTTTCCTTGGGCAGAGGTAGAAATTTACATGGGAGACTTTGTTTCCTTGAGCCATGTTAGGTAGAAGGAATGTAGAGTACTAGAAAAGCTTCTCTCGTGAGGTTAGCCAGTTGTGGTTTTGACCTTGAGCTTTGTGACTGTGGACATAATGCCAAACCTCTTTGAGCCATTGTTAAACATGTTGTGAAATGTAAACATATTGCCACCTGTTCTATGGGGTTAAGATTATAGGAAATAATGTATGCAATTTAGCCCTTTGCTGATCACATATTAAGTATTCAAAAAATGATAACCTGGATGGTGATTTCACATACGACTTGCTTTGTACCATGTATCCTTAGGAGATATGGCAAGAGGGTTATCTTTATTTATTTATATTTTTGCTTTCTTTTGATGTGAGACCTGGGTTATTTTTTTCTAGTTGGATTTGAAATAAAGGTGTCCTATGCAACAGGCTTCGCTTATCAAAGAAAATAATTGCTTTTGCTTTTGAGAGAGTATTTTCTCCCTTTGCCTATAGAGTTTTTGGTTTATTTTTATTTTTTGGTACCTTATGATTTGAAAACTTTCATAGTAAGTACAATTCTGTGGCCCAAACTCATTTTCCAGCCATATCGCTAAGGTAGTAGCCAAAAGTATAGACACTCTAATCATACTGTCTGATTTAAATTTAGGCTTTATTACTTTACTATCTGAAAAAGTTGCTCAGTTATGATTTTGACTGTCTTTGGGCAAGTAATTTGACTTTTTGTGTTTGTTCTCACAGTTTCAATGGGAATAATAAACATACACACCTTCTAAGTATATTCCAAGTATAGTTTAAAGGACTGAATGAGTGATTATATGTAAAGTACTTAGCTTAATAATAAGCCTTCATTAATATTTTTTGTTTTTTTAACTTGAGATTTAATTGACATATAACACTGTATTAGTTTTATGTGTACACCATAATGTTTGAATGTGTATATATTTATGTGTGTGTGTATATATATATATGTGTATATATATATATATATAGTGAAGTAATTATCACAACTAATTAATTAACATCCATCACCACATATAGTTACAACTTTTTGTGATGGGAATTTTTATGATCCACTGTCTTGGAAACTTTCAAACATACCATACAGTATTGTTAAATATAGTTACGATGCTTTACATCCTCCGGATTTATTTATCTTATATAATTGAAAGTTTGCACCTTTTGAGCACCTTCACTCTTTTGACCATAAATACTGTTATTAGCTCTTACCACATTACTCTTTTCTTACTTGTTTATTTAATGCATACTTATTGATTGTCTACCATATGCCAGGCACAGTTCCAGATACAGAAACATCAGTAAGCAAAACAAAGTCCTTGCCCTCATGAAACTTATATTCTAGTGCAAGAGATTGCAAATGAAAATTTGATGTTAAGCAAATCCTATGAAGAAAAATAAACAGAATAAAGAGATGGCAAATAGTAGAGGGTGTTACTTAGGATTGGGTATTCATTTTAGCTGAGACTGTGCAAATATCTGGAAGAAGAATATTCTTGGGTAAGGGAACAACATATATAGATTCCTGAGGCAGTAACATTCCTGGTGAATATGAGAAGCAATATCTACTCTACTGTGGATGGAGCAGAGTGAGAAAATGATAAGAGCTTGTGGGCCATTTTGGATTTTACTTTAAATGTGATGAAATGGCGTGATTTTGATAAGAGGAATAATGTGTTGTGATTAATGTTTTAAAAATATCACTGACTACTTTTGTAATGAAAAGACTTGAAGTAGAAGCTGGGAAACCAGTTAAGAGACTGTTGGTAGTACAGACAAGAGCTGATGATGGTGGTAGGCAGAAGTGATTGGATTTGGGATGAATTTTGGGATCTATTTGGAAGTAGAGCTCTTAGGATTTGCTGATGTATTGAATATGAGCAGTTGTATAAAGGATAGTACCATTTACTGAAATGGGAAATCCTGAGTAACTATGTATATGGGGAGCATAAATGTTTTGTTATGGACTGTTATTTGGAAATGCTCATGTTGGAAATACTCCATCTAAGTGGACATTTTTAGACAGTTTGATATGGGCGTGGAGTTCAGAGGAGAGGTCAAGGCTAGAGATAAAAATCTGTGAATTGCCTTTGTATAAATAATATTTCAAGTCACTACACTTGATGAGTGAGTTTGGATAGAGAAGAATAGCTCTGGGATACTCCAACATTTACTGATCAAGCAGAGCCAAAGGATGCACCAAAGAAGATTTAGAAGGCACAGCTGGTAGCGTAATATTTGGAAGCCTAGTGAAGAAAAGGTGTCAGGAAAGAGGAAGTGATTTAGGGTATTAGAAATTTGAGGAGAAAGTCGAAAATAATTTCTAGAAAGAGTGTGTGGAGAAAATAGTTTAAGGTTCTTTGGTTGCCTGGCAATATTAGAGGCCATTTGAGATGTAATGTCATAAATTTAATGTGAGAGTAGTCAACATAGTTCATAATTATAGCCACATTAATCTGCCCAGGTATGTGTACAGAGTAGCGTGAGAGCTGGATTTAGAGTTAGTATTTTGCCATGAAAGTATGAATAAAGAAGAGAGGGGAAGGGAACGTACATGCTAAGAAGTATTATAGTGAGGGCTGTAAAATCTAACATTGATAAGGAGGGATATGAGGGCAGACTTTCTGTGTTCCATCCAAACCAGATCTCTGTTGCCAATAATCACATTCTACTTTCATCTCTGCTTGTGTTTTATGAGATGCCCTTTTTTTTATTTTTCCTTTCTGTCATCTTTCCCAGCTCCCAGCCCAAAGAAAAACACATAGATCCAATATCCATGCATTTAAATTCAGTCCATTCTTCAAGACTGGACAGTGCTTTTGTTTCCCTTTTGAACTCTTCCTAATTGGCACTTATTGGTTGATATTGTAGATTTGTGTTTGTGTGTTCATATATATATTTACCTCTTATTCTGCACTGTGGTTGTGAGGAATAGGCGTATGTCCTTGTATCTTTAGCATTCATCACAACTGATGTGCAGCAAAAGTTTGATAAGTCAATGAAGTCTTAAGTAGAACAATTTCTTCCAAAGCAATTGTGAAAACCAGCATTTCATAAAGATTACTTTTACTTTCATCTGTATACTCTTTTATACTCACTATAGTCTGTATGTTTTTTAACAGGCATCATCATCATCATTATTTATTTATCTTGCAGGAGCATCTTTCCTTAAAGAAGTATATTATTGATGTTGTGGTTGAAAGTGCAGCTCTACCAGAGTCTTTGAAAGATGGAGAAGAGCGGCAGAAAAATAAAAAAAAAGCCAAAAAGATAAAAGCCCGGATGAACTCCAGGTACTCTAAATATCCTTAAAAACAAAATAAAAACTGTTAGTGATACATCCTTTTTTAATGTAGATCTAAGGAATACCCTCTGCCCTCCACAAAAGTTTAAACTTGTTTGCTTTAAGAAAGCCTTGAAAATAATATTGATGAGCTTAACTTATAGCCACTTTCTTTGATTGAGAAAGAAAACTGCCTATCGATCTAAAGCCCTTGCTTTCACCTGTTTAGAGCTCTTCCTATAATTGGATGCCAAAGCTCTGCCAAACTTGTGCCTCCTCCAGCATACAGTAGTATGTTTAAATATGTGTAAACGAATCCTATTTTTCTTTCCAACTATTGATTTTTAAATGAAGCATCAAAGAAAATCAATAGCAATCAACAAATAGGAGTCTGCTGGCTGTAGTGTCAAATCCCCTGCCTAGGTTTAATCAATTTGGTTGCCTGTCACAACAAGAAAAAGTTCAAGAAATATCTTGAAATGGAAAGTGAGTTCTTAGACCTGTAGTTTATCATCAGCCTCCAAAGTAACATCTGAGGATCAGACAGCTATGTAGTACATCATTACCTCAGATGCTTTGAGCATCACCTGATGACTGATGAGTCTTATTCAGGACACAAATGTAGTTTCTCCTTAGTGGATAATTCTTGCCATTTGGAGGAAGGTAATCTAAATACGTTGTTTTACCTTCATTAGTAAATGTTATGGAAGTTGGAGGAGCTTGACCCCATGGGATTATAGAAATATAGTTCTAGGAGGTGAATGGTGGTTATTGCTCTGTGGTTTCCAATTTCAGATTGAAATTGTTTCATCTTCCAGAAACAGCAAAAACTTGCAGAGTACTCATTTAAGCAAATAACAGAAAGGCTTTTTTGATTGTATTTTTTTGTGATCCTCTAAGTTTCTAAAAATAGTTTCACAGTATACTTGAAGGTATTACTGACCTTCATTCAGTTCTAGTTTATGCCAAGAACTTGCTGACCTTCTGACACTGAAATGCTATCCAGCCCATTTTTGTGAGTTCTTTTTTGTCCTCTGTGTACACATTCCCTTGGTAAGCTCCCCCAGCCCTGTGGCTCTAAATATCCTCCTACTTAGTGACGACCTCCCATTTTATATCTTCAATTTTACTCAGACCCAAGCTCCTGTTTTCTCCCTCACCCCACTCTCCAAAACCCCTCTTTGTCCCATAGTCTTCTCTGTCTCAATAAATGGATACTCTACTCTAGCTTTGTATGCCAAAACCCTTGAAGTCATCCTTGACCTTTCTCTTTCTTTCATGCCTCACATCCAGTCCGACTGCAAATAATATTAGCTTTGATTTAAAATATATTCAGGAAAAATTAAAAAATATATTCAGAATTTGACTACCTTTCTCTAACTTCACTGTTTCCCCTGAAGCTCTGTGACTAGGATTCTTGTTTCTGCCCTTGCTTCCTTGTAGTCTATTCTAAACACTCAAGCCAGAGTGAATCTACTACAACGTAAATTAGATCATGTCACTTCTCTTCTCAAAACCTCAGATTTCCTCTTCCCGTATATCCATACACCTTTTTCCCTTGCCTACTTCGTCCTTGCTCAAATGTCACCCATTTCCTGAGGCTTTCCTCAAGAGCTTGACGTGTTTTGTTTGTTTTTTGAAACATAGGTAGTGATAATTTATTATGTATTCTTAAAATTATAGGAAAAAATACCTATGATTCCGTTGCTAATATTTTGGCATATATATCCTTTTTATGCATACTTAGCTATATCTATAGATTTTATTCTTCATCACAGTGTGATTTATTCAAGTGATGTGTAGAGATATCCGGTGTGGTTTGTTGACTTTTGACAAATCTAGATACTCATGTAATCTATACCCCTATCAAAAATTGTCTTTGTGCCTCTTTCCAGTTAGTTTCTCATTACCCCTGGCCTTTTATAATCACTGCCCTGCTTTCTATTATAGAATATTTTTTCCTGTTCTGGTAAGGCATACAAATGAAATCAAACTCCCTGTGGCTGGCTTCTTTTACTAAGTGTACTGTTTTTTAGATATATCAGTGTTATCGTATGTAGGTAGTTTGATTCTTTTTATTGTTGCACATATTCATTGTGTGCATATCCTACAATTTTCATTTATTCATCTGTTGATAGACTCATGGGTTTCCAGTTTTGGGCATTTGTAAGTCAAGCTCTCCTCAAGTCTTTGGGTATACATGTGTTTTCCTTTCTCCTGGGTAAATACCTAGAAGTGGAATACTACACCATTTTCCATAATGCTGTACTCTTTACACTTCAATCAGCAATCTGTGGGAGTTCCACTTGCTCCACAGTCTTGCCAATAGACACTTGATATTTTTAGTTTTTAAAATTTTATCCTGTTTCAGCAGGAATGTAGTGGTATCTCATTGTGGTTCTAATTTGCATTTCCATAGTGACTAATAATACATATATTGAGCATCTTTTCATGTGCTTTTTAACCATTTAGTATCTTTATGAAGTGGCTGTTGAAGGTTTTTGCCTATCTTAAAAATTGAGTTGTCATCTTTTGCGTTGTTTATATAATCGGACTACAAAGTTCTTTGTCAGATATATGTATTGCAAAGTTATTCTTGCAGTCCGGAAATTGCCTATTAAAATTTCCTGAAGATAGCCTTTGATAAGCAAAGGTTTTTTTCTTGTGATGGTGTCTCTTTTGGGTTTTGGGTTCTAAAAGGTCTCTGAACAAAGGTAAAAAGAAACTGTATTTTTTTAATAGAAGCTTTGTAAGTTTATCTTTTGCATTTAGGCTTATGATTCATCTTGAATAAATTAATGGGTATAATATGAAGCATTGATCCAAGTTTGTTTTTCCATATAGGTAACCAGTTGTTCCAACAGTATTAGCTGAAAAGGTTTCTTTTCCTATTATACTCTCTGTTAGCATTTATGCATTATGTTAGCTATCATTTTTTGTAGATACCCTTTATCAGGTTGAGGAAGCTGTTTTTATTCTTAGTTTCCTGAGAACTTTTTTCATAGGCTGATATTCTGTTTTCAAATGCCTTTTCTGCATTTATTGAAATGTACCTTTTAATTTTATCAATTAAGTTCATCATATTGCTCTTTTAATAATAGTTTTATTGAGATATATTAACATCCTATACAGTTCACCCATAAAAACTATACAACTCTATATTGATTATTGAGGTATAATTGACATAAAACATTATATTAGTTTCAGGTGCACAACATAATGATTTGATGCTTTTGTATATTGTAAAATGATCACCACAGTAAGTCATTAGCATCTGTCACCACACAGTTATAGAATTTTTTTCTTTAAGATTTACTCTCAGTAGCTTTCAAATAAACAGTACAGTATTATCAACTATAGTTGCCTTGCTTACATTTACTTTATAACTGGAAGTTTGTACTTTTTGACTCTCCTCTACTACTTTGCCTACCCTCATGTGACAACAACCAATCTGTTCATCTGTGAGCTTCGTTGTTTTTTGGGTTTTCTTTTCTTTTTTTTTGGTTATCAAAATGTATCATGTGGTGTTTGTCTTTGACTTATTTCACTTAGCATAATGCCTTCAAAGTCCATCCATGTTGTTGCAAACGGCAAAATTTCATTCATTTTTATAGCTGAGTAATATTTTACTGTATATGTATGTGCATATATACATATGTATACACAAACATACACACTGCATTTTCTTTATCCATTCATCTGTTGGACAGATTACTTCTGTATCTTGGCTATTGTAAATAATGTTGCAATGAACATTGGGTGCACATGTTTTTTCAAGTTAACATTTTCATTTTCTTTGAGTAAATACCCAGAAGTGGAATCAGTGAATTGTATGAGACTTTTATTTTCAGTTTTTTTGAGGAACATCTGTACTGTTTTCCATAGTGGCTATGCCAATTTACATCTCAACAGTCCACATGAGTTTCCCTTTTCTCCATATCCGCATCAACACTTGTTATTTCTTGCCTTTTTTATATAGTCATTCTGACAGGTTTGAGTTGATATATCATTGTGGTTTCGATTTGCATTTCTCCTATGATTAGTAATGTACTTTTTTCCATGTGTCTGTTGGGTATCTCTGTATCATCTTTGAAAAATGTCTTCTGCCCATCTTTTAATCAGATTTTGTTATTTAATTGTACGAGTCCTTTATATATTTTGGACACTAGTCTTTTATCAGATATATGATTTGCAAATACTTTATCCGTCTTGTAGGTTACCTATTTTGTTTACAGTTTCTTTTGCTTGTTAGTTTGATGTATTCACACTTGTTGATTTTTGTTTTTGTTGTCTTTGCTTTCAGTGTCAAATCCAAAAGAATCATTACCTAGATCAATGTAAAGGAGCTTACTACCTATGTTTTCTTATAGGGTTTTATGATGTACTGTCTAAAATCCATTTTTAGTTAATTTTTATATATATGGTGTAAGATAGTGTTCCACTTTCATTTGCATTTCATGTGACTGTCCAGTTTTTTAAAATAATCTTTATTAAAACACAGTCCTTACCCTTTTATATATTCTTAACTCCTTTATTGTATATATATTGACCATATATGCATGTTTTTTTCTGGGCTCTCTGTTCTATTGATCAATGTGTTCTTTTTTATGCCAATACCATACTGTTTTGATTACTATAGCTTTGTAATATAGTTTAAAATTAGAGCATGATAGCTCCAGCTTTGTTCTTTCTGAGGATTTCTTTGGCTACTTGGTTCTTTTGTAGTTTCAGACAGATTTGAAAATTATTTTTTCTAGTCCTGTGAAAAATGTCATTGGAATTTTGATATGGATTGCATTGAATTGGTAGATTGCTTTGTGTATTTTGAACTTTTCTTTTGGTAGTTCAAGTAGTGTGTATTGGACATTTTAACAATATTAATTCTTCCAATCCATGAACATGGAATATCTATCCATTTATTCAATGTTTTCTTCAATTTCTTTCATTGGTGTCTTACAGCTTTTAGTGTACAGGTCTTTCACATTCTTGATTAAATTTACTTCTAGATAT